ATGTTAAAGTTTGCAATGCACTTCAAACATTTTACTCATCAATAAATGATGCAATATAAATTGTGAATTCATTCATGTATTTTTATGATTTTGTTCATGTGGTAGCATATTTAAAGTTAAATGTCAAGAAATAATATAAGTAGGGGGGTCTTCGGCCCAGTGGCATCTCAAAATTTTCTAATCTGGCCCAGCAGAAAAAATAATTGAATAGGCCTGTCTTAATATATCAGTAATATATGAGGTTTCCTCTTTATATTGACATCAAAAATTACTCAATAAATTTACATCAAATTAGGATTTAGACTAAATATTAATGCATTATTTAACTAACAAGATAAATTAAGTCATATCTCTGGATAAGCTTAGGATATCAGAATGATCCAGGTATCAAACTGTAGCTTTTAAAGCAGGAATCTGAAAATGCAATTAGGTCATTTTTACCAAATTTGACTTAATCCTCATTTCGCTATGATGGGTCACAAATAAAGTCTAATGTTACAACTAATCATGGATCCCTTTAAAATTTCCCAACAGCAAACTAAACACTTATTTCTTTTACATAGGACTGTGTCAGAGATGTATACAAACACAACCAGCGTGCAAAGAGAAGCAGAATTTGACATGCCATTGTGACTCACTTGTGTAGTAGTAGTAGCAGGCTGAAGGTATTCACTGGGACTGACAGCAATAGTGGTGGCCATACTGTCCTGTTGTTCTGGAAAACACAAAGCAGAGTCAGACACAGCTTGCCAGCAGCATCTGTGCTGCACTCTGTGGTCAGACTGTTGCTGACAGACATTAGAGCAAAGCACATTTGGTCTCAGGAGAGTAAGGATTGTTCACTATTGCCTGTAATTCGAACAGAGCTAAACAGCTGTTTGCTACGATAAATAGTCATTACCTATGCATTAGTACAATGAATCGAAGACATCCATATACTAAATTAAAATGTAAAGCATTATGAAATGACATGTTTATGAAAATACACTTTCCTTGAAAGTTAAATTATTGGGAGTTGTTAAAAAATATTTAGAAGGCTCCAAACATAGTTTTATGTTTGCACCTATTTTAATTTAGTTACTGTTTTTATATTTTAGCCAACATTTTTTGATAAAAACTTGAATAATTAACAACAAGAAGCTAGTGTTCAAGAACCCATCGGGACTTAAATCCATTGCTAAGGCTTTTGACAAATAAAAAAAACTGCCAGTGGACGCAAATCTCAAGCAATTTAATAATGGAAATGATGGAGCTTGACAAGCAGCGGTTCACCCTCACCAAAGACCGAGGCCTTTATTTCCTGTTAGCCACAGTTTACCATGCTGCACTGCTGCTGCTTCTCTGTGTCTTCCAGCTAAGTATGATGAGGTCACCTAATGAATTCACACTTTGGCAGGTTGTTATTTGTGCATTACTTTTGTTTTTACATCTCAGAAGCACTGTTTCAGACTGGAATTTTTTTTCACATTATACATTATTAATATAAAAAAATTTACATTGACTCTAACTTGTGTTAATTATCTGTTTTGAACTTGTGGAATGCATTTGTTCTTGTATTTGTTTTCAGAGATCAGGTTTATTTTTTTAATTAACATGCCTTATTTAAATGGATGTTTATTTGAGAAATTGTTTTGTTTCATTTAGGAAATGTTTGCTTGCCAAGGGCTTATTTCAAATAATATAATTTACTGAGTCATTTGATTTTGGTCTTGTTCATTTATGCTAAGATATTACACTTTTTTCACTAGTCTTTATGGCATGTTATCGGTTATAATCGGTTATTGGCTGTTAGAAGAAGAAAGTTATTGGTAACCTGTATTGGTTCTTAAAACAGTTATCGTGCATCCCTACTTAAAATATACATTAAAAAAAATCACCTATTAGAATTTCTGAACATCAGCAGGCAGACTTGTCAGAAAGGAAACAGTTGCAATAAGCAGCAGCTTCTGTTTCATGTTGCAGCAGGAGACAGGAGCACACAGACCAGGTGAACATGAGTAGAGAAAGTAGCTGTGTTTCCACTGCAAATGTGCACAAAACTTTGTCGATATTCTGTTAATGTCGAAAAACGCAGCTTCGCAACTGCAGTGTTTCCATTAAGTAAGAAATGTTATTAAAGTCACGTGAATACGTTTGTTCTCGTGATAAGTCATTACAAATATGGTGGCGATGGATGTAAACACATAGCATGTTGCTACCACGACACTAGCYCTCATCATCAGAGGAGACGTCGGCYTCTTTTATCGAGGCTTTCCAGAGACAAGTCCCTACTTGGTAGTGGCTACGTATGCTGTGTTTTTGGGAAATTGTAGTCGGTGAGTTTACTATTTTATACTAATTCTGTGATATTACTACTATTTCTACTTCCTGTTTTCTTCGTCGTCGTCTTTTTCGCCAGTAGAAACAGCCGGTTGTTGATCACGTGACTCCCATGATGCAAAAAAAGTGTTTCCATTGCAGTTTTGTGAAAAACACCAATTTCGATAAGGCTGAAAAACCACCTCATCCTAGCGCAAAAACATTTAGTCGAAAAACGTAATTTTTTTCGAAATTGACGTGTTTCCATTGAGCAAATTTATTTTCGAAATTCTAATTTGCGCATTTTCATGGTCAATGGAAACGCAGCTAGTGACATGTGTACAAATTGTGCTAAATGCATGCACTGTCATGCAAAATAATTTTTGTACAAAAGATTTGTTTTTTTGTACCGTGGAATAAAGTGGTCAGTCAGAAACTCCATAGACTTCGCTGAGATCATTTACACATCTTCAAAAATCCTAAATGGGCTGACCAGCTCTCTCCCTATGACTGTAGCCCAAAACATGACTCCACCACTGACACTGCAGCCTTGTTTGAACATGATGTCCATCCACCACCACCCAGCCACTGCTCCAACCAGGGCTGCATGGTACTCATTAGTAAACTAGACTTGCACCTTTTTGGCTCTGTGATAATTACCTAACTGAACTCAGATAAGACTGAAACTAGTGCTGGGTGGTATACTGTTTTGTATCGAAAACTGTTTTTATTTTAGTTATGATATGAATTTTCTGAATACCGAACATACTGGTTTAAATAGCCTGAACACATTTGGAGCCAGTGAACCGTTTCCCGGGGGACACTTTTCCTCGCAGCACAGCTATGTGTGTTAGCATGCTAATGATATTGTTAGAGTAACTGGTGGAGGGTGGTGTTTCAGCTGTAAATATTGACTGAAGTAAAAAAAAAAATCCTGTTTTCACCATCACTGAATGTAGTAAACAACTCTTCAGTGACGTGCACTGTTAGATTTAACGCGCTACGTTATAACGGAGACGTTGTTGCATGGAGACTCTAGCGTGCTCCTACTGTGAAAAGCCCAGGGGAAGTAGTTTTGTAGTAGAGCTGAGTTGAACTATGTGCAGGGTGAGTCGTCCTTTTAACTTTTATTAGTACACAACGACAGACTCAATAATGATCTTTTCTCAACCCTTCATGATCGGACCAAAATGCATGATTACTGTCTACAACCAGGCAAAAAAGAAAAGACGTACACGAGGAGGGAAACAGTAACGGACAGAGGTACAGTAAAAGTCAATAAGCAACATTAGTACATTTTATTATCAGTTGAGCTGTGATGAAAAAAAAATACTGTCAAATACCGTGCCACTGGTGTAATTGTTGAAAATACCGTGATARAAAATTTGGGTCATAGCGCCCAGCTCTACACCACACAGTTTGAAAACCCCCAATCTAAAGCACAGATTAGTGTCCATAGAATGATTGACTCAGATTAGCTATGTACAGAGACATCAGCCCTGTTTACGAGACAGGTCAGCACTGAACATGCAGCGGCTGCATGATCACAGTTACATCAGAACCTGGTGATTAAACTAACTTTCAGACCTAGAATGCTTTTTGTGTTTTTCTCCTACAAGCTGCAAAAGGTGAAAAACACTCTGCGGTCTGTAATTTATTGTAAATGTTGTTAATTTAGAAGAAACTTTTGCTGCGTGCCGGCTGTTTGTGCATGCTGCAGAGTGCTTCTCACCTCCACGAGGGTGCTCCTGTAAATCTCCCCTGAGATTCAGAAACCTCTGGTTTCAGAGAGAACGACGCCTGGCGTTGTGTATACGATCGGCCAAACTGCAGGAAAAAGCCTGCGGTTTCACACAAAATTGGCATCGTGCAAATGGGGCCACAGTGATAAATTTACTTATCTGAAAAATAAACCTAAACAATGTCTTAGAATTACTCTTTTGATCAGTACCAATAAAAACTTGATTAAAAAAATAATTTGGGGATTTTCCCTGTGAGGCAGCAAAGCTTTCAATTAATTCATTATGGGAATTATATTTACAATACCACTTGAGGTTTCCAATTTATAACAACAAATGTTCTTCTTAAAATTAAAAAAAGTCTGATTCATGCCTGTTTTTTTTAGAGTAAAACTGTTGATGACTTTGAGAATAAGACCATATGCAAACAAAACTGAGAAGTAAAGTTGCAGTGGATATTTCAATGTAGTTTCATTTTATTTAACATCATTTACACTCTAAAACAGACTTAAAAACTAAAGGTACAAGGCCAAAACAGGAGGCAGCAACGGCAAATGTGGCAGATAGCTCCATACTTAGCAAAAATTTAAAAAAAAAACTTCAAAATTAAAATAAAAATATGAATGAATAAAATAGAAACAAAATTAAATTGTGTGACGTCAAACATTTTTTCTTCTACGCCCGTTTTTCTTCTTCTACACCCGTTTCTTACAACCTGTGTATATGTTTTAGAGTGTACTGCCACCTGCAGGTCGATAAAGGAACAGCACTTTGCTGCGCGCCACCACGTGTCAACTATAAACACAGCGGCAAAACTATAAACGCAGAAGCCGCCTGGCTCAGTGCGCTCGCACTCCACGCGTTCGAGCCCGCGGACCAAAGTGGGAGTATATCTCAGCCTTAAGTGGACAAAGAGTTATGTAGTCTGCCAGATGGGAGGAGTTGGAACATGTTGTGACCATTGATCTATATTACTGGATTGGACATGGCCTATAGCCGCTATAGCTAGCGACGCGTCGTCATAGGAGCCATTGCTATGCATTGAGTCATGTCAACAAAACAGTAGAGTTTCAATGCGGGATGTGCGTCAATCTGTCACAAAAATATTCAAAGCACCCTCATTTCTTATCAGATTTCTATAAAATGTGGCTTAAATTAAAGTTAAGAAAATTGCAGATACATGATATGTAAAAAAAAATGCATTCGCTGAAGAGATAAATCTATAAGCAGTCTGGGAACTTTTCATTATAGGTTTTTGCTAACGTATTTACAGTAGAAGCCCCTTTCCGGCACATAAAACTAAGAGTCATGTGTGTCATATGTATATAATTCTAATTTTGCATTTGTTTCCTGGTTCTTCATTCGCGCTGAAATGACTAAAGACAAATTCCTCCAGCTGGTCATAAAATAAATGTGATCGGCCCCTCCACCGCTTAGCTTATGAAATGTACGGTGAAGGAAAAAAAAGGTTACCAAGTTTTTTACTCTGATATATAATCCCAAACTACAAGATATACCATATGCTGAGTGGGCAGAACATCAGTACCAGGAATATCTACACAGTTCAGCCTAGTAGTAGTAATGGTAATTTTACTGTTGTCCATTATATTTACCTCTCACAATGTTATCTTAACATAATAACAATATTAGTAAAAATATAATAATTTGTTGGAACAGC